TTGAACGCTGGCCACATCATCCGAGCAGCAGCACAGCCAAAACCTAAACTCCAAACCAGGACAGCCTGAACACAAAACCCACAGTAATCTGCATAATCACACATATTCGCCTTGAGCCCGAATCTCCGAAACCCTAAAGCTTAAGCCCCTAATCCCGAGCTGCAAACCTCTAAACCATAGAAGCTGTAACATAGTAGGCTCGGCTACCCAATCCGAAAGCCATTTCACAGACCCTCAAAAAACACAGGGTTTCGGCCTTATGGTTGATACTGCGTCCAGATTGCGGGCAGTAACACCAGAAAGCCTGTCCCCGCTGCGCGCCAAACTCGATACTTACAAAGATCTGCGATTTGGCAACTGGAATTTCTTCCAGAGCCCCCAGCCATACCCCGTCTGTAAGCCCCTCAGGACCCAAGCTGACGATAATATGTCGAATGTCCCGTGAGCTTAATTTAGCTGAAACAAAACTGAATGCTCCAAGGGAAGAAGGCCGGAAACAACGGAGCCTGGCAGGCGGATGGGGCGCAGAAGCGCCTGCGTATATCCGGGCCCGCAGATGGGAGTCTAAAGGTAGCTTCCGAAGCTGTACAGCACTTGCCTGCAGGTGTCAGAGCATGCAGCAAGTTGGAAATATGAGCCACACAAATTCCAGCATCCCCGCGACGTTATGGTGCATGGTTCAAAAGGCCGCAGCCTCGAAAGCTCTGGCTGCACTGGGAGATTACCGAGAGAAGCATTTGTGCACCGCAAGTACTGGTGGTTGTTTCACTGAACTGCAATGGGGGCAAGAGGAAGGAGGTTGGGCGTAAAGCTAGGGTGTGGAATTGGGGCAAGATGGTTCGGGATTTCGGGTTTGGGTTTCCATGCCGATGGCTCGCACTGGCACCGCGCCCAAGTGTGGGGACCTTTTGTGCCGTAACAGTTGTTGCCAAACGGCGGCTATAGATGGACTCTGTAAGAATATTCTCCCTCATGATTCGGAACTATATTTATTCATGATTCGCGAACCTCGTTTTGACAACCAACCCCAAACCAACCCCAAACCCCAAACTCTAACCCTTCTCCCGAAACCCTAAAGTCTAAACCCCTAAACCATCCCTAAGCCCTCAATCCTAAACCCCTGAGCCACTAAACCTCTGAACCCCAAACCCCAACTAAAACCCTAAAACACACCGAAACCCTCAATCCTAAACTTTTGAACTCCAAACCCTAACTGAAACCCATGGTGGGACTCGAGGTTGGATCCCAGACCGACATGAGACACTTCGAAGTCGCAGAAACCAAAGACAGGGTTTAGGATCTGGGGTTCGTGGTTTGGGGTTAGTTCTTGGGGTTGAAGCTTGAAAGTTTAGGGCTTAGGATCTGGGGTTGGGGTTTAGGGTGCATAAGGGTGTAAATGATTTTAAGGTTTGGGGCTTATAGGGTTTAGGGTCTGGGGTTTAGACTCCTCTAACTGAACCCTGACAGCATAGGCTCCCCCAAGTGAACCCATTATTCTGGGAGGAACTTCTACTTGCCTTCTCCTCGCCGTTCCATGCTGGTGTCAGCCTCATGTTCCCTATAGACCCAAAATCCTAAACCCTTAACCCCTTAACCCTTCAACAATAAACCCTTAAACCCTAAACCCCTAAACCCTTAAGCCGTAAACCCTAAACCCTTAACCCCTTAACCCTTCAACAATAAGCCCTTAAACCCTAAACCCTAAACCCAAGTGACTGTCAGATTGGGTGTTGGGAACGTCAGGTTGGCAGCTCGGGGGGAGGAAGGAGAACTTCTAAGCAGACTCAACCCTCCCTTAAGGTATAAGGTCCTGAATTCGGGGTTCTACTTTGTAGATCCTCCGCGGGTCTGGGGAAGCACCAGTGCAGAGGGCGGTTTGATTCGTATGACTCGTAACAGTATCCCAATATGATCCCTGTAAGTATAGTCTAGTAGAGCCAGCCCTCGCCCAAAAAAAAATAGTTCTTCTGTTCACCCGTATTAGATGGTCTAGAGTTTGGGGCTTAGGCTTTAGATGGTTTCAGGATTGAGAGTTCGCGGTTTGCATCTCAAGGCCCAGGATTTACGGTCTACTCGTCAGAATTTGAAGGGCCTATAGAGAGTCATACCCTACCTCCGGCTTAGGATACCTACTTCTTTTTACAACAGATCCTAACCATACAGCTAGGATCCCCGAAAAGCATGGCAGCCCATGAGCCTATTAGACAAGGTTTGAGGTCTGTACCGTTTAAGAGTTGTGGTCCAAGCCTTGAAGGCCAACCTCCGGGCTTCAGGATTAGGGATTATAAGGTGCCAGGATTAGGCTGAAGGGGTTTGGGGTTTGGGGGTTTAGGGTTGATTTCGAGGTTTCGGGTTTGGTGTTTCCGGGTTTAGGGTTCGGTGTTGTCGGCGTGGAGGGTTCCAGTGCCGTGCCTTGCACCCCATAGTGCGAGCAAGGGGCATCTTCCTCTCAGTCACGCTTCAGCGACACTGCTCCAGAGTCCATATGGTCCATGACCCTGCCAGAGAAAATCGCACCCTAAACCCTAAACACTAAAACCCTAAACCCTAAACCCTAAAACCCTGAACCCTAAACCCTAAATTCCTAAACCCTCAGTAGTGGCAGGGGCATGTTGAGCAGAGTTGGCTTTGGAAGAGAATCGGGGTCCACAGGTAGCCTTGGTGGCTTACAACTCAAGCGTGCGAACCGGGCCTATAAGGGTTTAGGGTTTAGAGGGCAGGGTTTAGGGTTTAGGGCTTAGGGTATAGGTCGTTACGACTAAACTCAGAACATTGCACACCTCTTTTAACAATAACCTTAATGCAAGCTATAGCTATTGTAGTTCCCTGGCCATTAACTACCCTAAACCCGAAAACCCTAAACCTAAACCCTAATCCCAACACTTAATCGCAAGCCGGGCTTGTCCTCCAAATTCCAGGGCGCAAAGTGTGCAGAGTGCTTGGCTTATTTTTGGGGTTGGGTTGTGGTATTCAACTGCAGCCTGTTCAAAATCACGGGACCTTCTCATCTTTTCTACCGCTTCACTGTATCATGCGACCCTTTGTGGACCCGAAGTTCTTAGACAAATGCCATATAACGTGAAGTCATTGCCAGAACGACATTTAGGTCAAGGAAGATACAGAATGTGCTTAGGTTGTCTGCAAGGCATCTTCGCAAGACAACTTCGGATAATAGCGATGCCAACTCTAGCGGTTGAACGTGCTGGAAACCCAGAACCCAGCAGTAGAACTCGACCGAGAAGCTGCAAACCGATAACAGTCTAGGCACAGTGCCGACACAACCTACGAGGCGTTCTCACAGAAGCTCTGCACAAGGCGTAGCGGCGTATTATCTTACCCAAAAGAATACGGCCTTTTGGACACTTACCTAGAGGATCCATATGTACTACTATTATGCAGTCAGGTCCCCAAACCATTATGAGGATGATCTTTTCGGGCCCAGTTCCACAATAGCAGTATGTATATATATATATATATATGTATGAACCCTGTGGGCTACCAAGTTGGAAGAAAGCAGATGCCTTTCCGCAAAGGACTCAGCCCGAAACCCGACGCTTCCGACCGCATCGTTTTGCGCATGTCTCGTGGTGTCACAGCTCGGTACGTCTGACGCCGCAGCAGCGCTGGGACTCACAAAACCTTGGGCCAAATCCGCCCTGCTTGGATGACGACAACCGAACACTCCAGATTAGCTGTCCCACATACCTGTTCCACCGGGCACTTTCACCCCTTGGAGCGGCCCCCCAAAGCTCGAAGCTTTGGATTTTCTTAGCGGGCTGGTCCGGGTGGTCCCGGAGGCCCGGGAGGTCCCGGAGGTCCGGAAGGACCAGGGGGCCCGGGAGGCCCGGGAGGTCCACTGAAGGACGTGGTCGTGGCCACCGTGGTGGTGGTGACTGTGGTCGTGGTGGTGACTGTGGTCGTGGTGGTGACTGTGGTCGTGGTGGTGACAGTGGTGGTGGCGACCGTGGTAGTGACTGTGGTCGTTGTGGGGGTAGTCGTCGACGTGGTGGTTGCCACAGTGGTTGTGGTAGTGGTGGTGGGCACGGTGGTGGTGGCCTCCGTGGTCGTTGGGGGTGCAGTGGTGGTTGGCTCGAGGTGCGTGCTCAGCGCGGAGGAAGGGATCACGACCTTCGCATCGCGTGTGTCTGGCCCCTTGTACTTCACCTTGCTTCTGGACGAGGAAACGTCCAAAAAGGGCGGTCTCATACTGACTTATAACAACCTAAAAAGTCCACAAAGCCGGACATCGAGAACTAAGATGCCTGTACAGACCCTTGTTGCCTATAAAAGCTTTGTGCATCTAAGTCACTGTAAGAGATGCACCACCGCCATTCTCGAACATTTCAACAAGCAGTGGATGCCAGCCAGCTGCCAGTTGCTTGGACCCACTTCTCTCCTGGCTCCCGTGGCTTGCAAGGTGTTCAGGTTAGGCATGCTTCGAGTTTCGAGTTTAGGGCGTAGACGGCCTAGGGGATCTGGGGCTTAGGGTTTAAGAGTTTAAGGGTTCAGGGTTTAAGGATTTAGGGTTTAGGGCTTAGGTTGTGCCCTCTTGTGGTCTCCTGAGTCCCATGCAAGCCGTCGTTGTCGACCACGCGCTCCTGAGTTTTGGAGGTCGTCACAACATGCGGCTGATGAATGAGACACACCGCATTACCCAGAAGAAAAAACTCACCAGGAATGCCATAGTTTAGGTAACTCTGTCAACCTTGAACCTTAAACCCTCGGCTTAAACACTGATTGAATGGTTTCAATTACTTCGGTAGTGTAGGATTTCGTCCTTCCCCCGATAAGAGGCATCCGCGCAAGCTTCTTGGTTGAGACACAAACAAGAAGTACAAGAATGCGCCTGCAAGACCCCAACTCCACCTTCGTTACAAGCAGGCTCTCTGGGCTTAGAGTTTAGACTTTTCGGGGGAGGGTGATGTGGAGGGCGTGTGGGTTTCGTTTATAGGGTCGCAAGTCAAAAGCGCACAACCAGCAGTCAGGACCGGACGAGATTCCCCATCCACATAGAGGAAGGAACCATCGTCTGAGGCGGTGTAGAGGTCGTAGGTTCCAGGAGTCTGAATCTTCAGAAACCCTGTGCACCTCACGGCGAAGTGGTCGTGTTGTGCGACTTCCGGGAAGCGATCGTCACTGGTGAAGTCAATCTCAGGAGCGACAATGTGGTTGTCCGGTGTCCTTCCTGCGCGCTCTTCGCAAAGGGGGGGAATGGCCAGAATGTGGGCTGAGCCACGGGGTAGGTTTTGAACCCTGCACTCTATCTGTGGCCTAAAACACCTTCCCTCTGAAGGAAGTGTAAATTGAAACCCACACTAGGGAACCCTAAAAAAGGTAGGTGTTTTCGACTACACTCTAAGCGCTATGAGGCCCCAAACCAAGCCCCAAACTCGACGAGATCCGAATCAGTTCAGGGCAAAGGCTGCCTGCGAAGTCCGGGACGTTGGAACCCTGCGTGAAGTAGTAGTACTCGCAGATCATGCCCGGCGACCCAAGGTCTTCCTCGGTGCAGAAAAAAGGCAGCCAGAGCCCGAAGCACCGGGAACAAAAACCCACAAGTCACAAGTGCGTGCGTGTTTGAGGGTCTACCTCAACCCCTTAACCCCAGAACCCTAAACCCTTTAAGGCCCTTATATTCCCCATAAACTCTACCTGTTCAGGATTCCTTCTGATGATTTCCTTTGGTATGTCCTTGAAAGGTAAGTTTAAGTGTGAGGGACTTCAGGTAAGATACACCTTGCGTAAAGCCCGCCGACAGGCTGTAAAGTCTGAGCCTGCCTGTCGAAAGCCCTAGAAAAACATTAAAGTCCGAGCAAAAAGCACCGCCAAAAAAAGACTAGAAGACGGAGAGCCTCCTAAACTCCGAATCCTCAGAACCGAAGTCCTAAACTGAAGTCGTAGAAAGAGCCTCCTGCGAAGCCCACTATCAACCCAACACAGACCTCAATATATCGGAGTTTCAGAGAACAAGGGTCCCGAACTTAGACGCTAAACTGTTCAGTCCTTTGTGTAAAAGCAAGCTTACCTACTAGCCATATACTCCCCCAAATACATGCCTACCATTCTGAACCCGAACAATAATGTACGGGCATGGATAATTCGAATCTTTCGAGTATATCATAGTAATGGTATCCTTATATGAAGGAACCCTAGGGAATATACTTGCAATCATTTCGGTTCCATTTTGCAGAAGTGACACTAGAGGCCGTACACTCCTGCAAACACGATCCGACACCCTTCCGAACCGAAATGCCGACAGATGAACCCTAAGCCCTCATTGAAGCCCTAAGTCGTAGACCCTAAGACCTAAGGCCCTAAAACTAAGCCCTAAACCTTAAACCCTAAGCCCTAAACCGTAGACCCTTGAAAAAAACTTCAAGAGGTCCGGGCTTCGGTCTCGCAGTTGAGGCCGCTGTAGCCCGGATCGCAGACGCAGGCGCAGCTGTCGAGTTGAGAACCGAACTCGTTCCTTGGTTTAAGGCTTCGGGTTTCGGGGTCCTTCAAAGTCTTAGTGGGCGTAGGGCTTAGGTTTTATGGTTTATGGTTTAATTATAGGGTTAGGGTTTGGTTATGATCTAGTCTGGTATTGTCTCTTAGACGGGCTTTAAACGGGGGGGGGGGGGTTCTTAAATGGGAACCTAAATGTGTTGGCAAAGGCTTGTTGGAAAGCCCATACAAGATTATGAGCTCGGATGTGCCTTGAGCGAGGACAGGTTGTAGCATAGAGTTTGATTTCTTGGTGGCTGTGTTTTTGTCCTTAGACTTTACTCCTTTACTCGGAAGTTCATGCTTAGAAAGTACAGTGATAAGCACCTTCATTGGGTTATAGGTATTTCTAAGTACAGCCACCCTACTTTGGCATTAGTTACTATGTCCCGTGAACCTTTGACCCTAAACCCTAAATCCCAAAGCCCTAAATTCACGGTTATGACGGTTATGTAGGCATTGTGGGATTGCGGTTCTGGGCCGTTCAGCGCCCCCGGACTCGGACCCTGCGGCTCTGTAAGAGCTTGTTAGCATGTGGGTTGTAGGATCTTCTGGGTTCTTCTTTGGGTTTTAGGGTTTAGGGTTTAGGGTTCAAACGGCTTGGGGCTTTAATTTAAGCTACCATAACAAAGAAGCCATTTTGTTGACTCTAGATCCCCATGATTGGCAACTTAGACTAAACCCCTTAACAAGAACCCCCATTATCAGAGCATATGGGCCATTGCGAATATGACCAACAAAAACCCAACAGGACCTGGGTCTTTGATCAGGCCGCTGGCGGCACGATGATATCACGCCGAGAAACCTAGTCACCTATGTCCCTCGCGGAACTGGCTCCATCATCCCTAACACTCGCAGTACAGACACTTAGAAGAATCGGACCTTGGGACACCTAATCCAGAAAGCGCTGATACTCGTTCAGTCGGAAAGGATTATTCCCAGAATCATGGCAGCAGCTTGATAGTCTAAGGAATAGCTTCGCAATCTGCGGTTAGTGGTATAGGCATTGGCAGATCATGATCAGATCGGGCTTCTGGGAATCTCAAACGCCTACTGTAAACCAACAAAAACAGGCCAAGGCTCAGCCATTTCACACCAGAAGCCTGACCTCGCGAGTTGCAGTCCGCCTCTGCAGTGCAGCTCTCCCGGCAAGTGGGGTAGCCTGGCAGTTCAGAACGGCTGAGAATAGTACAACCATACACGAGTAGGATGATGGCTCAAGTACCACACTCCGATGGACAACCCTAAACCCTAAACCCTAAAAGTCTTGTGACGACTGCGAGAAAAGCTAGTTACAATGACGTTTGGGCCTAATTCGCCTGCAAGAGCGGGGCTTCAAGGCGCTTCAAAAGCCCTAAACAAAAAACCCTAAGCATTTACCAGAAACAGTCAGAAACAGTTGTGAAAGTACTGAACCCTAAACCATAAACCCTCGAATTCCTTGAACCCTAAACCCTCAACCCTAAACTGAACAACGGTGCCTGTTACCTACGGACCCTTCAAGTAGGGTTCCTCTACAAAGTACCCCCAAACCCCCGCAAAATCTAGAAAGTAGAACCCCTAGTATTTGGGTCCCTTTACGACTGAAGGCTACTCTACAGAATTCCTGTTAAGGGATCTACTCCCAAAGAGCCCTATAAACCCCTGTAAACCAAAAGAGCCTTCTAGACTAGATCCCCTTCAGGAAACCATACGAGAACACCCCTTAAGGGAACTACTTTTCGGATCGGTAATCATCATAAGCTTAAAGTAAGCCTCAACCCCTAAACCCTAAATCCCCGAGCCCCGAAGCCCTGAAACTCTAAGCCTTAATCCCTAAACCCCTGAACCCTTAAGCCCTTAAACTCCCGACCTTAATCCCCACACCCCTAAGCCCCTAAGCCCTTAAGCTCTAAACCTTAATCCCTACACCCCTAAGCCCTTAAGCTCTAAACCTTCATCCCTACACTCCTGAATCCCTAAGCCCTTAAACTCTAAACCTTATAACCCCTACACCCTAAGCATCCTCCGGGAGTTCGGGGTAGGGTCTTCAGAGGCGGCCTCGTGGCCTTCGGGCTTCTGAAGGTTGGAGTAATACTATCATGATTACTTTTATTTCTATGATTAGTATTGCTATTATTGCTACTCTGATGCCAGTGACTATGAATATGATTACTCTTATGATGCTGATGATTATGATTATGAGAATTCTTCTCATGGAGGCTAAGAAAACCCTAAACCCTATACCTGAAGCGTTGGGGTTTAGGGTTTAGGGAACTCCTGAAACCCTGGGTAGTGAGGTGTCTAAGTTTAGAGCTTCGGGTTCTGATGCTTCCGGGTGCGTTGGCTGCGTTTGTAGAACGACCCTTTGCGAAAACTCTGCGGGAACCTCAGGTCCGGAACGGGCACCCGAAGAGTCCCCGAACCTTCGACCTTAAACCCACGACGAAGACCTTTTAGGGTTTAGGTTTCAGGGTCTAGGGTCTAGGGTTTAGGATTTGAGGGTTAAAGCCGAAGTGTCCGCGTAGACGTAGCGGCCCTCAGGAAGCATAGCCCAGATGATTCGCCCGTTTTGGAACAGCTGAAGACTAAACACAGGGTTCTACCTGGTGTATCCAGGACACCCCATACGGTAACCCTACGTTTCTGAAGCTGCCCACCCCAAAAACCCTAAACGGCTAAGCCATAGACCCCTAAACCCTAAAGTGGAACACCTAAACCTTAAAATCCCAAACACCTAAACCCTCATGCCCGAAAGCCCTGAAGGCCCTGAAACCCGGCTGTGCCTTCGTATCCGGAGATGCACACCTCGCAGCGATCGCCCTCATAGCCGGTGGAGCCTGAGGAGTCCCAAATCCCTATTGCGGTTTTCGGGAGTGGTACGGTTGATGGTATAAATCCTGCATTACCCTCAGTAAGGAATATACCATATTTCCCGTAGTTTAAGGTCCTTAAGGTAATGCAGGATATATATCATCAACAGTATTAAGGAGTATACCTTATATAAGTCATGTCAAAGACATTTCAAGACTCTACTCTGCCTTGCGCCGATTTCAAGAATATACCTTATGACTCTGTAGGGCTGAATAGATCTTAGGTCATACTTAAAACAATTACGAGCGGGCTTAAGTTGCATCGGGGCGACTAAACACAGCGCGATGCGACTTAACCCTTGGACACAGTAGGTCAAACAAAGATGGGATTTCGTGCATTAGTTCAAGGGTTTGACAATCGGAAACTCAACCCCCTACACCTTGCACACATAAACCAACCCTACTTAAACCCTAAACCCCTAAACCCTCAACTCCTAAACTTCTAAACCCCTAAACCCTAAACCTCCAGACCCCAAACCCCTAAACCGCAAAACCCATAAGCCCCAAGAGCGAAGGGGTCTAGGAAGCTCCAGAGCCGGGGTTTGAGGCACAATGGCTCCAGGGGTGCGGAAGATAGAGGAACCCTAAACCCTATAACTACTGCCTTAACCCACCAGAACCTACCTTTCTTGTAGGGTCCCTAGAATTCCCACCCATATTCGGGTTTATAATCAGAACCTACAGAAAAGTGGGTGTTGGTAGGTTAAGGTAAGTATGAGGGTTTAGGGTTTAGCATAAGCCCTCAACCCGTAAACCCCTAAGCCCGTTCAGGGTTTACGGTTTAAGTCCGCGAAAAACCCATAGATACAATACTGTCCATGTCTGGATAAAACTTAATCTTGAGACA